TTTTTTTTTTTTTTTTCCCACCGCAGGAACTTACAGGCAACGGAAATAGTCGTGCCTTGAATACAAACGAGCTTGATCCTGCAATCCAAACACAGAAGATCCGAATCTATCCAAAAGAACCGTTTTCATTGATGTTGGATCCAGCCGATCCTATTCCTTCTTGTCTCAGATTAGAGTTGCATGGCTGTTCTGCACCAGGTATTTGGCGACCTGTATCTATGTAGACTTTTCCACTTGAAAGAGCTGAGTCACTGCAGTTTGGTTATTCTTGCGTTATGCTTTAATCACGACCACCAGAAAGATCAATTTAGTGATTAATTTCAAGCTAAAGCTACAGTGTGCAAAGAATGCGAGCATACAATTCACATTCTAGCAAAAGTTTGGTCAATTTTTACATCAGAATGACTTTTCAAGAACAGCGTTGCTTGGGCTTCTTGGAATAAAAGATAAGAGTCAACTGAAAGAAATGCTTAAGCTCACTATTAGATGAAGGCTACAAGTTGCTTTTAGCTTTCCTGAGTTCTTTATAGATATTTCCACTAACTATACAGAACTCGGTGTCATGCAGCTTGCATTTGATGGGTAGTTGAGGCATAAAATGCATTTGCACTACATACCAGATTGAAATTGCATTGTAACGCTGGAGCTGGAAGGTAAGTTAGCTGTACGATATCAAAACGGACAATGTAAGCATGTGAAGGGAACGAAAGTGCGAATCCCTCTTCTCTTCTATTTTTGCTCATCCCCTCCGCAGTTATCCCCATTTTTTGCTCACCCCTTGCGCACTCGTTTGCTAGGTCGCTTGCTCGATCTCCCCGCCTGTAAAATGGAAAGAAAACGTCTACTACTCAGGCTATGTAAACTTTGAATAAAATTCTTTGAACTGAAAACCGCGGAAAACACAACAACGACTTGTAACAATAAATAATAATAATACATGCATATCTCCTTAGTTATACTGGACTCTTTCTTTATTTTCAGCTGACTGTAAGGACCCCGGAAGTCCTCCGAACGGGGTGCGGAATGGAAATCATTTCGGTCATGGAAAACAGATAACGTTTGCTTGCGCGAAAGGTTTCATGCTCGTTGGTAGCGCGACTTCTGTTTGTCATAAAGGGACATGGACTCACGCACTTCCCAGCTGCAAAGGTTGGTTTCGTTTGAATCATTCGTATTCATTGCATTACTGTGAAATTGATTTGGTAAAACAGTGATTTAAATGTGTTTCCTTTAACGCTGGTTTGTTAAATTACTATGGGGCTTATCGAGCATGTGGGAGAAAATTAAGCAATCTCAAACGACCAGTTTTACACATTGGTTTATATATGCAGCTNCTAACTATTTGCTGTCTGTTTGCAGCTTCGTGCCCAGATCCTGGAATTCCTCAACACGGTCAACGAGTTGGTTCCAGTTTCGGACATGGCAAACAGTTACGATTCATATGTGAATCAGGATATTGGCTGGTGGGAAGTCAACTGATCGTTTGTAATGAAAGCAAATGGAGTAACGGCATCCCCAAATGTAAAGGTACATAATCTGACGAGCTGAGATTGTTATCTCCAAAAAGAGACAATTTGCTATTTCCACTTTTTTTTTTCTGAGGGTTATATGAGCTGGGTACCGCTTTCTTAGAATGATGAATTACTACTTGCATCCCGTTTGATTTTAAAGCCGAAATCTCTCTCGTTTTGTTGAAGACTTTTCAAAACTATTTACAGCCATTGTCAAGAAAAGCAAGCATTTTTCATATGTTAGTATTTCTCCGGTTTGAAACAATTTCTTCTGATTACAGAGTTACTCGGTTAAGGCTCCGTTCTCACTACACCGGAAGAATTTGAAAACGGAGGTTTTATTCCTACGGTTAGGCCTACGGTCCACACTAATCCGTCACGAAAGCGGAGCTTTTCGGAAACCCTCTTCAAACCAGACGAATTTGAAAACGCAGGCTTTTCGTTTTCGTGTGGACGGAAAACGTCACGTGATCACCCTGACCGAGTTTTCACAAACACAAATCCAAAATGGCTGATGATTCTTGATTTAAAAATTCCTCCGGCGTAGTGTGAACGGAAAACACTTGATGCGTCTCCAGATTGAAACCTCCGTCTTCAAATTCCTCCGGGTTAGTGTGGACGGGGCATGATTCTCTTCCTCCTTGCTTGGGAGTAGGACCCGTCGACTGGGTTAATTGATTTCTTTTCTGTAATGTGTGGAATTTATTGACGAAGGATTGCTAGTGTCAGTTTGAACTTCCATGGACCGTACTTTTGTCAGCTGTTTGTAGCGATCCAGGAATGCCGGAGAATGGAATCAGAATCGGTGACGATTTTGGTGACGGTCAAATGGTGGCTTACAGATGTAATGAGAACTTTAACTTAGTTGGCGCGTCTACGTCCTTTTGCATAGCAGGACAGTGGAATTCCACAAAGCCAACGTGTAAAGGTATGCTGTACTTAATTTAATTTACGCAGTAAATCACCGAGGCTTGGACTCGCAAGGGAAACGTGCAATCTGCCAAAATCTCGGGACAATGTAGGCTAGGTCAAGTTTTACTAGTTTCAGGAACCATTTTAGGCTCGTTAAACGCCCAGCATTTCTCAAATGGCATCAGAAACCTTCTTGTGACTAGCGGTGCGTATACTGATTCTGTTTTCGGATTCTGTTTTGTTCCTATGGATCTGAAGGCTTGATAGCTTGTTATACAGGCGAGTGACTAAAGTGTCTAAAGTTGTTTCTCCTCCTGGAAACATGAAGAATACAACGGTCACTTCTCGGCATTTTGTCAACTGGTTTCTAGAAACAATTCAACAGTTGTCAGACAACCGAGAAGAAAGAGGCATTGTGAGAGGAAAGTACTATATTGCAGGACAACCTGGGCTTGAGCTTTGGAACTCTGCGTCTCAAGTTCACTTGAACACTCCCTAATAATTAAATCAATGCGCCTCCACTCACCCAAAAGTCTCTGAGCTTTCAAAGAACTGTTTTACCTCAAAAAAAGTTATCAAATGTAACTCTGCTGTCCTTATTCCCTTCAATGGAACAACATAAATAATAACGCAATGCGTTTTGATATTTCAGTGTCCTGTCCTGATCCTGGAGTGCCCCAGGACGGTATAAGAATCGGTTCCAATTTTGCCCATGGAAGGACCGTGACATTCCTCTGCCTACAAGATTTCAGTTTGGTGGGAAGCCAATCAATGACATGTCATGACGGGAAATGGAGCACTGTTCTTCCTGTTTGCAAGGGTAATACTCTTGGTCGTTGAAATTGCTGTAGAAAAAACCTTTCTTTTATAACAATGAGTACTAGTAGATTTAATATTACATCGTTATTTAGTACTACTATTACATCATCTTAAAAGTGTTAAAGAGAAAGTCACACATTCACACTTATTTTTTAAAAAGCGCATAAGAATTTTGTGTGATTCAACTTTTGAAACGAAAAATTCTCAGGTTTTAGTCGTAATTCAAATTGTAAAGACCACTCGTACAACGTCCTCTGAAAAAACCTTGTTTTCCCTGTTCTGTTCTTGTTCACTGATCTCTAATTTCAATCTCTTTCCATCTTAGCGTCTTGTGAAGACCCAGGATCGCCTCAAAATGGTGTTAGACATGGAATCGAGTTTGGTCACAACAAGCGTATCTCCTTCACATGCCTTTCGGGATTTCAGCGGATTGGAAGTTCGACAGCATTGTGTATCAGTGGAAAGTGGAGTGCTTCTCTTCCTCAGTGTAAAGGTAAACGAAAAATTTGATGTTCGGCGATAAACTCAACTTAAGAAAGTTGCTAAACAGTAAGTTTGTTTTAAGCTTTTTGCCTGGATCCTGGTATCCCTGTAAATGGAAACAGAATCGGCGATGATTTCCTCGATGGACAGACTGTGGCGTTCGGATGTCAACCAGGCCACACGCTGATTGGGTCGCAGGTTCTAGAATGCGTGGCTGGAAAATGGGATAATGACTTACCGGAGTGTAAAGGTTAGTTTTGATGGATTAAAACAGTAGATACCAACCAAAAAACTTGAGAAGAAAGCAGTTTTAAAATAATAATAATAACTACTACTCCGGACCTTGGGAACAATGTTTGGAGAGAACCCTGAGGATCTTGATGGTATAAGTTTAAGAAGGAATACGCCGACTGAGAATACGGGCTCCTGGATTGGCTGACTGTATCAATGTCCTTATTCATATCATTATTACTGAATTAAGGACGTTTCTTGATGATCGATGGATGGCAACTCAGATATTTCAATTCTGCAGCAACCCATCCATGTTATATTGTCCTAACCGCGAATAAGTCAGTTATTCTCTAGTTAATAAAACACTGTTGCCTTGTTGTTTCTATTCAAGCCTCGTGCCCAGATCCCGTTGTTCCTTTACATGGCCGAGTTCTTGATTCTAAGCCTGGTAACCGACACGGACAGCAGGTGACATTTGCTTGTGATCCTGGCTTTAAACGAACAGGATCGTCAATCATTAGGTGCAAGAATGGAATCTGGAACTCTTCTGCGCCCTTGTGTACCGGTATGAAACTAAGCGGCTAGACATTCAGTCGAAAATTATTATTATTATTATTATTATTATTATTATTATGACGATGACGATGACGATGACGATGACGATGATTATGATCATGATTATGATTATTATTATTGTGTTATTTGCTAAAGCATCGGAGCTGCAGCAGAATTTTTATATACAGAAACCGTTCTATTGTGCAAGTTGAATAAGTGTCTGTGTTTCTAAGGAGACAAAAGCAGCAGCAAAGAGTAAATGAAAAAAACATTTCTTTCTCTTTTATTTTAGATATTGACGAGTGTACAGAGGGACATTCCGACTGTCATGCGAACGCTACGTGCAAGAATAGTGTGGGCTCATTTACATGTACATGTAATGCGGGCTCAGTTGGAGATGGCAAAATCTGCTTTGGTGCGTGTTATAGGTTTATTAATCTGCCTTTAAGAAACGATTTTGGTGCCATGATATATTTTAAAACGGTGTGTAAAGTGTTGTTGTCTGTAAATTGACCCTGAAGGGGTTCGAGGTCGGTAAAATGACTGTTTCTCGGTGATAAAATTTGTAAATTTGTTTCCTGTAAAGCATATCGTTGGTACGATAAGGAATATATTTGATTTCAACTGCTACGAGAGCTTCGACTATATTATACGCACAGAGATACAATAAAACGCAGCTTAGACACCACTCAAAACGATTCTTAACGTTTTGTTACCTAGCAAACTGCAAGGATCCGGGAATTCCACGAAATGGCACACGGACAGGCAACAATTTTGAACACGGTCAATTACTTAACTTCACGTGCAATAATGGCTACACGCTGATTGGTCGCAAGTCAATAGTCTGTCAGAAAGGAATTTGGAGTTCATCTCTACCTCAGTGCAAAAGTAAGTTAATATGGAATGTATATCATGTACTAGGTGTTCACATATTATTTCGGCATTTATTTCATAATCAGATTAAAGCCTTATAGTTCATATACAGGAATCTTCCAGCCTTCGCTCGCTCTTTCTTTTTTCCCGTTCCTCGTCGATGTTTCAAAAATTTCGACATTTCTGGTTCTCAATCCAGGTACGCATGAGTTGAATATCGTTTTTAAATCTTATAGAGTCCTGCATTGATCCTGGTACTCCCCAAAACGGTCTAAGGATAGGCGGCGACTTCCGCCACGGAATGAAAGTGACGTTTGAATGTCAGCCAACCTTTAAGATGACCGGCTTCGCCAGCATGACTTGCCTTGACGGAGCATGGAATCACAGACTTCCAGTATGCTCAGGTAAGGCAAATGTCTGACTGGCTAACTTGAGGAGTGTCGAGTTATATCCATATTCATAAAATAAAGGTGGAAATGACGACGATTTGAAGATGATGGTCTAAATATAATTCAATGGGCTCTATTACTAAGTATTGTCTTCGACGCTAAAGGGAATGGATCCTTTTGTAGATAGAAAAATGAAATAAAGTGGAACATATATTTAAGCATCCCTTGATATGATTTCAATTATAAATTTATCCACAACGTATTTGCTTTATTATTTTTAGCAAATTGCAAAGATCCAGGAACTCCACGAAATGGCGCACGGACAGGTGACAATTTTGAACACGGTCAATCAGTTACCTTCACGTGCAATAATGGCTACACGTTGATTGGTAGGAAGTCAATGGACTGTCGGAAAGGAATTTGGAGTTCCTCTCTACCTCAGTGCAAAAGTAAGTTAATATGAAAGGAATATCATGTACTATTTGTTCGCATATTTTTTGGCATTTAATTTGTTTTTAATATAAAACTAGAGATAAGGATAAACGACCTTTCGATCTCGCTGACATCATTTTCAAGTTTATAAAGTGATTAAAAATGTTTGCATATACGAGTAAAACAAGACATGAGAATTTGGAAAGCGATAAAACTATTTAAGCGTTACAAAACGTAAGTGATAAAAAACTAAAATACAAAAGGCTATATAAGACAATAACGAACTATTTTTAAAACTACAAAAGATACAGTAAGTATGGAATATAAAACACTCTGCGATATAAAAATAACTTTGCGCGGATGGAGTCAGACTGCTTATTCAAAGTTGGCTTTAGGCCTTTTATAAAAAGCATCTCATAAATTAAACAGTCAAATATGCTCTGGCACTTCCGTTAGATCTTAAATCTAAGACCTATGTCATTTGGGTCCTCCCATGTTGCCCTCTGACGTGTTTCACAAACGTAGACTCCTTATGTTCCTCAATACGTTGATACAGGTGTCGGCATGTGTAGCTGACATGATCTACATCACACAGATTACACTTGAAATTGTATACAACGCATTGTTGATTCACAATAGGGGGTTTCTTTCTCTTGGCTTAGTGTTGAATCCGATCTTTTGGCTTGATACGGGTTGGATATCTGTTCCAATTTTGTGACTTAATTCCCCAAGTTGTCTTCGTACAGAATTCGTTGGTCTCTGGTCCTTAAATGTTATTCTCACAGGTGCTTTCTTCTCGTCACGCATCTGTTTGGATCTTAAATCTCCCGGTACTTTCGCAGTAACAAAAATACTGATTGTTGATTGCAAGAGTAGGGCTGGGTACAGAAGTCGAGAGAAAGTCTGCGTGAGACGTTTACATTCTAAGTGGAACAGCTGCCAGTTAGATGAAAGCTTAAAAGCACGTTTCAACATCATTTTAAGCAGTGACTGTTTATATCTCACATCGACATGGCTTTGATAATGCAATAATAATCCGGTGTCTGTTGTCTGTCTATATAGCTTTGTTTCCAGACGGACATGTGTTTGACGATTTCCACCCCCAGAAAGGAGGTTTGCCGTTTTTGGCTAATTCCATGGTGTAGTTAACTAAAGGATGGCTGTCATTCAGCTGTCATTCAGTCCATATACAGGTTTCTCTTAGCCGCGGCCATTTATTATTCTTTTACGCGCTTCTCGTTGATGTCTAAAAACTTTTCAACATTTCTGGTTCTCAATCTAGGCACGCATTAGTTGAATATCGTTTTTAATCTTATAGAGTCCTGCGTTGATCCTGGTACTCCCCAAAACGGTCTCAGGATAGGCGGCGACTTCCGCCACGGAATGAAAGTGACGTTTGAATGTCAGCCAACCTTTAAGATGACCGGCTTCGCCAGTATGACTTGCCTTGACGGAGCATGGAGTCACAGACTACCGGTATGCTCAGGTAAGGCAAATGTCCGACTAATAACTAACTTAAGGAGAGTCGGGTAATATCTCTGGTCATATGAGGCAAGTCAAAAATGACGAAAATTTGACGATGAAGGTCTAAATATATTGCAATAGGCTCTATTGTTAAGTATTGTCCTTGAAGGCACTCTTTTGGAACATTGGAATAAAGAGGGAAATATATTCAAGCATCCCTTTATTTTCCTTTGATTTCAATTATAAATTTATCCAAAACACTTTTGCTTTATTATTTTTAGCAAATTGCAAGGATCCAGGAATTCCACGAAATGGCGCACGGACAGATGACAATTTTGAACACGGTCAAACGGTTAGCTTCACGTGCAATAATGGCTACATGTTGATTGGTAGCAAGTCAATGGACTGTCGGAAAGGAATTTGGAGTTCATCTCTGCCCCAATGTAAAAGTAAGTTACAACATTTATACCTGAAGGCAAATCTTGACTTTATTTCTTGGAATTAGCCCCCGTATATATTTGAACCTCATCAATGGATTTAAACAATTATTTGTAAAGCCTAATTCAAGAAATATTCTTGTTCGCGAGAGAAAACAAATGAAAAAAAAAATTGCATTCTAAATCATTCAGTTAGCTAATAACCTTGAACTTGCAAACATTTATTTGAAATTTTCAGAGTCCTGCATCGATCCTGGCAATCCACTGAACGGGCGCAGAATAGGCTTGGATTTCCGGCATGGCAAGAAAGTCTCGTTTACTTGCCTAGCCAATTTTAAATTGACGGGCACTTTCAGAATCATTTGCCTCGACGGAACATGGAGTAACAAAGTTCCCACATGTAAAGGTAACATCGAGGTGTACGACAGATGAAAAACTCGGTGGGGCAAATAATCACAATACTGTAATATTCATATCGATAATTTCAACAATAAAGTAATAAGAAATGCTTTAAATTGGAACATCCCAGGGTTTTAGTTTGCTTGGAAAAAAATATGAAAATTAACCGGCTTTTATTTAGTTTTGACTTTAAACTCGTTTAGAGAAAAAGAAAGTCATGTGCTAGTTTTTAAAACTCAGGTTGTGTTCTTGTTTCAGCTGTTTGCAAGGTCCCTTCCAAGCTGGACAACGGAGTGATATTGGCGGACAAATTTGATAACGAGGGTATCATCGAGTTTACTTGCAACCATGGCTACAAGTTAATAGGCCCACGTGTATTACGCTGTGACAGTGGTAAATGGAATAACAACATTCCAAGTTGCCGTAGAGGTAACAGGCCGAATGATTTAAGTAGTTGCTGTGTGAAGGTGTTTTTGTTTTTCTGTTTCTTTTTTTGTTTTTTTGGTTTTTTTTTTCGCTATGAATTTCAAGAATTACATGGCTAAATATAAATCTGGTTGCCAGTTTTCCTTTTCAGGAAGGCTTGAACTCAATGATGGCGAAATGGCCCCTAAAGAGGTGCTTTCCTGTTGCAGTGATCGCATGGGCTATGGGATCGTTTGCTACATATTGAAAATGGACCTTGGAACATTTTTCTCATAAATTACATTAATTTCATATATTCCGCTTTGGATTTAGATGAATATTTGCATTTTCGTACTCTAGATGTTTGCCCCAGTCCCCCTAGACTTGTTCACGGCTCGCATGATGGTAATGATTTCAGCAATGGTAGAAACGTAACATATTCTTGTGACCCACTGTATGTGTTGGAAGGATCTGAGTTCATGACATGCGTGGACGGACAGTGGCTTGGCCAAATTCCAGTTTGCCGAGGTAACTAGAAAGGACAATCAATGATCCATTAACAGCTGTACTATAGGAATTCTTGTAGCATAGTTTTTTACACTGCTTTAGGAGTAACTTGTTAAAGATCAAAGCCCTGAAATGTCAATATTCGTGGGCATAAAAATAGTTTTCACTCACGGCGAGCACAGACTCTCTCACGATGACAACAATGATATTGCTTTAGAAGTTAGCAACACGTAGAAGTTTTAGGATTTGAAAGCTTTAAAGATCTGCCGATACAAAATTGCCACGTTGGTAATGTAATAAATTAAACACGTGAGTCCGTGTCTTACCATATTTCCTAACGAAAAGAAGGGAGTGAAAACAACGACGCGCAGCGGAGTATTTTTGACGAGTTTCTAGGTGTTTCGAAATGTGGTAAAATACTGATCGAGTGTTTGATATATCTTTTTAATGGAAACTAAAACTAAGGAGAAAACGGAGAATTAAAATTGTAAAAATTTATGCTAGTCCAAACACCGTTACGGTTATGACTACCTTTGTTTCAAATTGATCAATTGTTAACGAGTTTGGGAAGCGGAATTGGGCGATTTGTAACGGGTGTTTAGCTAACGAGTGGACTCCTCGTCTATCTGGTGTCACTCGCTGAAAGTCGTCAACGTCGATACCGTCTCCACCGTGTAACAGATTGTTTTGTCGTTCTTTGACTTATTTTAGCTCACTGCCAACCCCCCACTACACCAGCAAATGGCTTTATGTTCGGTGACAACATCCAACACCAAAGTAATGTCCAGTTCTGGTGTGACGAGGGTTTTATTTTACGAGGTTCAAATAGCAGTCAATGCAATGATGGAAGGTGGGATTCCCCAACTCCTATTTGTGAAGGTAACATTAACTGGATTAAAATGGTCTTCCCACTCACTCATCCTCATC